AAATAAAGGAGGACGCTTCCCACACCCGCCGAAAGAAAAAATGAAAGGGTAACGTAACGTACCAGCACCAGGCACTGCGCACCAGGGCATGGGAGTAACGGAGCAAACAGGACAATGAGGCGGCAGATGGGCAGACAGCCAAACGTACAAATGCAAAGGCAACAGCAAAGCGAGATCACGGTACCCAACACGGCAGAGTAGGCAGGGAGATCATGAAAAAAGAAACACAGAAACACATAATAGAGGCCGAAGGCAATACAAAGGACATATATAAAGGAGTATAGCATACAGCAGGGAGGGAAACAGGGCGCACCCGNCTCGACCTTGTTGTACCACACCTCCGGGTCCTTGGCGCTCTCTTGCCATTTATCCCCCCTTCCTTTTCGTCTCCCATGTTGAAGGCCACGAGGTCCTCTCCTAGACGAGACACCCAGTCGCTCTCCTGCCCGCCCCGGTATCCCACGCCCCCCGCCATCGCTCCTAACAGCATGCGCTTGGGGAGGCGGCTGTCCTCCATGCGCATCACAAAGCCCGCGAAACACAGGCTCCGTTTGCGCACGGTGGCCTCGATGGTTTCTTCGCAGCCTGCCTGGATGAGGGCCTGGGCATAGGACAGGGGCCGGGCTGAGCGTTTCCGCTTGGTCCAGCCGATGCACCGTGTAAGGAACTGGCGGTGGGTCCCATTGAGCTTCGTGTAGTGCTCCGCTGTTAGGCTCCACGAGGCGCACCCATACAGGAGAGTCTCCACCACTTCACGTATTGTCGTGTGATACCGTGGGTTGCACAAGATGCTACGCCCCGTGGACCGATTTCCAAAGCTCGATTACTTGACGACGAAGAAGATGTCGAAATCAAAGGATATGGTTTAGGAAAGCTCTCGACGAGACGGTTCCAACGCCTCCTGCCATTTTGGGCACCGTCACTGCCTATCTTGCCGAGAAGTCGAGCTTCGAAAATCGGTCCAGGGAGTGTGCTATCTTCCGCAACGTACGGCGGTACGAGTACCACCAGTGATGGACATCGCCCGCAATACGGGTGCGCCTATAGGATGTTCGAAAGTGTTGGTGATAAATTGACGATTATCGGTTTTCCGATGTTCGCCAGGGTGGCCGATGCTTCGATACGATATTGCCCAGAAAATCTCAAGCGGATCGAAACCTCGTCTTGCTGTCTGTCCAAGATCAAGATTGACTCTAAGGTCTCACTTCCACAGCAGGCGCGTTGTGACGATGGATGATACTGTACACCGCTGAGACCAGTAGTGGGTTAGTATACCCGACGTTTGTATGTATGTGGACATAGATGTGGATCTTGCGTTGCAAATACTAGGCCCACAAGGTAGGTGGCGTTTGGAAGGTGTGCGAAGCTCCGGGAGAGAGAGGCAACTTGGAAGGGCATATATTGTACAAAAGGCACATTAAGACTGTATTTCATGTGAAGAAGTCATACAGTAGTACATAACTTTTCGCCAACCGAGACTTACCCGTAGCTTTAATACTGTACCAGTCTTGTCCTGTTACCTGCTGCACTGACCGACCCACAGAGGTGCACAACAACATACTCAACATGCAGAAAAAAAAGGAAAATAGGCACAAGTGGGAATACCCACCCCTTTCTCGGACAAATGTGGGTACTCGAAAATCCAGCGCGCCCGCACTGCATAGGCGGCCCCCAAACGACTCAAAACCCCATTCTGACACCAGCGCGACACAGCCAGGGACCATAGACAGCACGGGTATCGATTTTTTCCCACTTTCAGGCACACCTTTGGCCCTAATACCGCCGAGGCGCGCAGGGCCTCATTAGAGTGCCCACTTTTGTCCGACATCGCGGTGGGTATACCCACTGGCGTCAACTATTTTTTTCATGTACCCACTTATGTCTATATTTTGACCCACTTTTGTCCAAATTGTACCCACATTTGTCCACTTATAGACGGCGGAAAATGAGCGGAAATCGACCTCCATGTCACCGCACGGCAGAACATCGGGTAGCCTCGGAACGTCTCAGAACCTCCCAACACCGTATCCATGGCATCTTTCGTATCCATGACTGCCGACTGCGGACCGACCGCGGAGGAACAAGTCAGACACATGCCAGGCCCCTTCGGCACCGGCACGGGAGGATACCAGGCACGGGAAGATGCTCGCGTCAAGCCCGGCAAGCAGCGCACTAACGGCAAACGCCACAAATAAATGCGTGACACACAACGGTCAACAAAACCAACCGGCACGCATACAGACAGAACAAAGAGACGCGCAGACACATTCTGACAGCACTTCAGACAGCAGCTTTGTGCCCCGCCAGCTTCTTGTTCCATGCCTACCATGGTGTTTTTGTACAGACAGCACTTCAGACAGCAAGTATGCTGTAGTCGGCAATCATTCGTTTTGGTACAGAGTGGGACAGGTAGGGGGTGATGTTGCTGTAGTCGAACGGTGAGACGGACGTGTAGTTCAGTTTTGGGCACGCGTACGGTGCTGCAGGGATTATATATAGGTGTAGTAGTACCTCTTCGGGCTCTTGTACACCTTTTTCTTGCTACGTGTGCGTGTTCTTTAGATCCTCAGATGGCTCTAGCACTTTCGTGACCACGGGCCGAGAGTCTTTGCTAGATTTTGGCATTTAGCAACTGGCATACGGTTTAATGTGAAGTCAACAACAAACAGCAACACCACACACACACAAAAACACCAACCACCACCACGACGAGTGCA